AGCGTCGGTCCAATTTGCTTTTCAAGTCGTAAGAGTCTAAGTGTTTGCAGCCTTATGCAAGACCTTGCTGTCTTGATTATCGGGGTACGAGAGCGAATTCATCCACTTGAAGAGAGGTGGAACAGGTATCCCGAGGACATCTACCTTATTAGGGATATGACCATCAAGGGGTTCTGCAATCTGGCTAAGTACCTCAAGAGCGAAGCTCGTCATGCCATCCTCAAGAAGGGGTTCTAACTGCGTGATTGCTTTATTAGGTCGCTCCACCTAGGTAGACTTCGACATAGTGTCACTCGAACTGGTTCTCAAAAGAGTAGCTAGTGAGTTTAACGCGAAGCTTGAAACTGAAGTGAAGAGACCGGCCAAGTTTGCATCCGTCATGGTGCTGAGAGCGAACTAGTCTTTCCTTTATTCTCTTTCTCGTGCTGAATGCAAATTGCTTTTTATTTCACCTATGCAAAAGAGGCAACTAGGTCTTATGTGGTGCCGAGGTCTTTTATCAGCTCGGCACCCTAGCCCTTAGGCTCTAGGAGTGACTCGCAGTCCACTCTCCTTATCCTTAATTTTGCCCATGCTGAAGAGGCGACTGGGTCTCATGTGGTGCCGAGCTCAACTTGTAGAGGCGACCTCACGAAATGAGGCTAATGAGGCCTCATCCTGGCTGATTGCTGTTGAGGATGAGTTGAGGTCATTCTACTGCTGTCTACATCGGGCTTCTCCCATGCTCAAATTTGGAAATTCTTGCTTCATCTCATAGAACTGCCACGCTTCAATCCCGGTGAGAACCGCTGATGGCTCTACCACGGGGAAGGGGCGTTCATGTGCGGTGGCGGTGTATTTATCTGGGGCACTGAGAATGCCGTGTTTGGCCTGAACTTGTTTGATTATCACAAGGTTGTTTTCAAGGTTCTTTACAGATGTTCTTGCCCCCTAGTAATTGATATTCGTTTTAGATGTTGGTGCTACTCAAAAATGCTTTTTAGTTCATAAAATATGGAAATTAGAGAATGATAACTTAAAATTTTAAAAGGCAAGATCTTAGCCTTCAGGAAGATGAGGACTTAGCTTTTTAGAAGGTGAGAACTTAGCTTCATATAGCATTTCCTATATACGGCGCCAATTGATGAAGGATTTTTTGGCAGCACCCTGTTGTTCTGACTACTTCCTGGTGTCCGATGACTCAGAGGTCGAGCTAGAGTATTACTGTTGGATAAAGGCTTGGATGCTGAACTGATTGGAATGAACTAGGAGGTTGCTCAAGTGTCGAGATGGGTAGCTCTTCGAAGAGACCTACAAGGAAATAGTGTCAAAGGACCCGAGGTGGCTAACTCGGCGAGGTTGCTCTGGTGTTTAAGTTAGTACTCTTGTAGTAGATTGCGAGTTAAAAATCAGAATGTATTAGAGCTAGAATGTACTTAATCGTGTGTCCCCCCTGTTTCATTAGGGTTGGTGCCTTTATATAGGCATTGTTTGGTGTGGGCTTCACGCATCGCATCCGAGATTTCCGGGAAGTCGCCTAACCGGTCTAAGATCCTCGGAGGTAACCACCATGCACGTTGACCACCCTTCGGAATGTTCGGTACGTGGTCCAACATCCGAGAAACGTGGGAGTGTCGGGATATGCATGCTAAATTTGTCGGCGAGCACGTCTCGCAGGTCACCACCGGGACCTTAGTTAGGTTGGCACACCCTCGAGGGAGGTCGCTCATCGCGTTGAGGTCACTTTGGCCAATGGCGAGATACTACAGGTCGGCCCTGGACGAGGTGCTGGCCGACCTAGTTATGGTCGAGGTCGCTAGGTTGGCAATGAAGGCAGGTCACCCAGTCGGGGCGAAGAAAAACCATGATCTAGGATTCCAAGTCATCGCTTAGGTGGTGTCCATGTGTCATGTAGCTATTCCAAGATGCCATGTGTCACAATGTCATTGGAGGGCCAAATCCGCCCTCATCAGTTGTGGTTCTGGGTTGATTTTTAAAACCTTGTTAAAAACTTAATTTTGATAGTTTTAGTTTTTTAAAACAAAACCAATTTATTATTTCTTATCGAAATAAAAATACAGTAAAAAATATATTATTTATTTATTTTATTGATATATAAAATACATAAACAAATGAAAACAAAAACATTCAAAAACATTCAGTAGACACCCCTCCTTAATTAATAATTAATAGGCTTTGACATTCCCATTAAAAATAAAATAAAATACTCTTGACACCTGGTTAATTTTAGGCTACAATTACATCTGGGGTTTGCCTTAATCTGTGTACAAGGTCCGGCTCTATTGAAATTTCTCTACTTCATTCGAAGATGTAGATCAAAATATATTCGCTGTCATTTCTTTCTCTTGTTTTTCTTTTTCCTTTCCTATAATGAAACGACACAGATATGTCTCTATGTGCGTGAGAGAGAGAAATAGAGCAATAATAGAATGGTGGACATATGGGATGAAAGGGTGGGGGAAAGGCGTTAGAACATCCCCTGAGATAGGAAACATAATGATAGAATATAAGATTAAAAAAAAAAAGAAATAATATTTAGTTAACAACACAGTCAACAACAACAACCCATTAATTCATCCCCAAGTGATGTCAGGCCATTGTCCAACCTTTCACGTGAATCCTCAATTTGTCACGTTGTAAGTTGTAAGCAGTGTGATGAGGATGGGTTTGGATCATGGATGATGGATGGATGGATGGTAGAGGAGGAGAGGGAGGGCACCTCCTTAAACGCACGCATGTGGCAGTGGCACCTCACATGATATCTCACATCCTATGTTTTGGACTCTCCACAGTCCACATTCCACATTCCACCACATTGTTCACTCTTCATTTAGCCTCCTTGCCCTGCACCCCTTCACACATCACACCCTTCCATCGCACATGCTTCGATATCCACTCAGTTTCCCTGCCGGACTGCTGGGCCCTGCTGCTGCTGCTAGCTATGCCTTTCTTTTAGCTGCTCCACTCAACCAATTTCTCTTCATTCTTTCTTATTATATTCCTTTTCCATTTCTAGGAGCTCTGGTAAAATATATATATTTGGAACGCCAATGACCAATCCCCTTGATGCCCCGTCGTCGGATTGGGATCCCTCTCATATTATGGAAGTAGACAGCATTGCAAATTTGCAACAGCTAGAGCTTGCAGAATCAGATAGACTTTGACTGGATTAATTATACACATAATAGAAGATGATGAGAGATCTTCATTCTTCAATGGTGGTGGTGGCGGTGGTTACGGTGGGTCTCCCACTTTTTTTGTCAAAGAAAATAAAGTTGTTCTTGGTGTCATATGGTGTGTTTTTTCGAATATTTCACATATTTTTCGTATCCAATATAAGCAAAATCTATGGTGCATCGATGGCATCATGCAAGTATTGATGATACTTACATCCTGTGATACATGAAAGTACATCGTGTGAGAGTGAATCAATGAAAAATAGACTTTAATGTAAATCTCGATTTCACAATTAACATGCAGCAATTTCAGTGAATGTGCAGTATTGATTCATTTAAATTAACATGTAATTTACAGTGGAAAGGTCTCTGATTGATTGTAGCCAAGATTCGGGATCAAATCCCACTGTCACTAATGTTATGTTAAGATTAATCAAACGCAATAACTGTTCAGCAGGCAAAGGAAACAATGATAATGCCCCACACCAGTCTTGAAATATATGGGTCTATAACTATTCAACCTCTCAGTATTGGTCCCATTTCAAGGCAAAATTTTTGCAAGTAGAGAAACTGGGCCAACCCAAAAGTCTCAAACATAATCTGATCCCAACCTAACCTGAAATTGGGTTAGGATTAAGGTTGGGGGGTTCAACACTTAGAATTGGGTTAGGATGACCTCAAACAGTCAAACCAACCTAACCCACCCCGACTTGCAGCTCTAGTTGTACAGCCCCACGAAACATAACACAATACAATTTACAGAAGAAAGCCGTCAGAATTTCTCCACTCACTTGGAGATAGAAAATGGATTCGGTTTAGTCAAACACGACAATTTACCTGGAATATTATTGCTTGAAATGAAGAACCCTGAGCTTCAAAAGATCAGTGGCTAGTAGCAGGTTCTCAAAATTAACTCGGGTCGGTCCAAGAATCATCATTATGATATTTTGTGTGGGGTTCTTGATGAGCCAGAACAATAAATCATAAGTTTTTATAATACCAATAAGATCCTTATCACAACCTATGATTTGAGTCCTGATCCTATGTCCATAAGCATCGACATGTCTAAGATTAAGATAAAACTCTCTCTCGCAGTGTATGAATGATACCAATTAGCCCAGATAGATTTTTTCAAAGCTTTACCTTCTCAAGGGAATTCTTAAACGAGCATTTTCTCGTGAGGATTCTACGCTTTTAGCTAGCTAGCTTATTAGGATGAACCAAACACTGTACAGCCCAAGCATCATAAGAGACAATGAATAAAAGCCATTGCCAACCCATAGCTGGATTCTTCAGTCTTCCCATGGTTCCACACCATTCTTAATGTATAATAGTGCACTCAAGTAGAAGGAACAAATAAGATAAGATCATTTGATTTTACAAGCGAAAGTCGATTTTTTGTTACGTAGAAAGACAAAAGCTTGTCCTCCCTATGTAATTTTGTACAGGGAAGCCTCAACTGTCTCACATCATCGCTCTTATTTTGGTAATGACAGTAATTACCGACTAATACTGGTGATCATTGTGAACTCATACAGCAGTAAGATCCATCCTGGGTAAACTGATCGGTTCTGTACATCCTCTGGGTGAATCAATCTCATGTCTCTCTGATAACTATATTCCATGATCAAAGAACAGTAAAACACCTTGAGTAAATTGCAACCGCACATCTTTGAATAATGGAACATCTATTCACATGTCAACCTTTTTAGTCCCATTGGACCATTAAAAAAAAAAACTTGGCTAAATAGTTTGGGCTTCGAAAGAACTGAAGAAGGCCCATGTAAAAGGTAGAGAGGTTTTCTAACCAAGCAACTCAAACGATATATGAATATGATCCTCTTTCAGGATGTTGAATCAATAATTTATACTTGAATATGTTACAGCTTCATAATCATGGCTATGGTAAGTTTCTTTACAACAAAGTAATCTCTAAAGCAAATGCCATTTTTCCCCTACCAAGATGGCTTGCCTGTAATCTGTGAGACAGAATGACAAATATGAAATAAATCAAAGAAGACAGCTTTCAACGACTAAACAAATGTAATCACCAAAAAAAGTACCATGGTTTAGGAATAAATGGACAAGAAATAATGAGAAGTTTCTGTATTCCAGGACATATGTTTCAGTAACTTTTGCAATGATAGGGAAAGCATTATCTTTCCATCTAACAGCAATACATAGTCGTCTGTTATGTCATGAGTCATCCCAAGGAGACCATATATCTTTTTCATTCTGATAGCTATACATAGTCATGTGATCTTTTGCCCCTTTTCCATATATTTACACATACATGTATACAGAGTTATACAGAGAAAAAAAAAAGAGAACAAAAGAATAAAACAAAATCTACAATTGCAATTCATTGATACCTCAGGGATCTCCTGACGGGAAAATTTGGAATTCTTCAAGCACAGAATGCTCTTAAGCAATGGTTTCAGCAGGAGGGGTGGCATCTTATTTGAGGTTTGAAGATGAAAACATCAATTTCTAGCCTCAAAAAAGCATCCAAAATTCACAAGGCATACAACGACAAGTATAAAAAGCATTGCCTTATTAACTCCAAGATAGAACCATAAGAGAAGTGAAATCATTTAAGTACAGTTGAACTTGAAGATAGTGAATCAATTTCAAGCATTACGAGTTGGCATGAAATAAAGAGGAAGACAGTCAATACTTTCAGCAACAGCAGTGAAGGATGAGGTCTTTTAACTTTCTTCAATGTGGAAAACCAATGAGTCCATTTGACAAACCTAGTAATGACATCTCCGATTGTCATGATTTGGACAGAAAGAAGGTTGTTGTCAATAATAGAGAGACATCATTTTGGAATGCCAAGCATTTGTTCAATGGGATGTAGAAGTGAAGAGTGGGTACCGATGTCCAGAAGCATCTTGACCAGAGAGATATCAATTGCCACTTTACTTGTTTATATATATTTTATAATGCCAGGAAGGCTTCACAGCAAGATTTTAGTAAGAAAAAAAAGGGGATCCCAAAATTCAAGAATGCTTCTAGCATCACCATGATGTCAACAGATAAAATTATAGAGGAAGTACAAGGAAAATGGTGGCGTAAAGTTTCCAATTAAAACTTCAGGGCAAAAGACTTAAAACTTCCCTTGAATTTTCACATAAATACTGAAATCTCCCCTTTCTTTACAAAACGGACTAAAACCTCCCCTGTTAGTTAATGTCATTGGACAAAAACCTTCCTTTAATTAGTAATTTGTTAAAATTTGCTTACCTGTGATATTAATTTTTTTTCAAAAACCCATTTTTGCCCTTTTCATGTTGAAGAAAGAAAAAAAAAATATCAAACCAATATGATGTCCTTATTTTCTAATATTTCTGATGGACATTGAAACCGTTGAAAGATTTGACAATGCAAACAAGATTCAATCGATAGAACCTTGCGAAATTGGAATTTGGGTGTTTTACAAATGGACCTTTAAACATGTAAAGATCAACTTGCACAACCTAAGATTATAACATTTCATATGAACATAAGAAAAAAAATATTAGATTGCTAATGCCAAACCTGTCATCTGTCAACAAATTGTGAAAATCAATTGAAAGAGCACATTTGACAATATGAGTTCAACGGTTTAAATCCAAATTGAGTTATACCCAGAATAAAAACCCTAGCTGAGTTTGAGTTTCCATGAGGATCAATTACATGTCTTTTATATTCTCAAGGTAGTGGCAGAGCCAAACTTTCCTTGCAATCGCTGCATCTGAAATTTGAAAAACTAACAAATGAGAAAATACTCTAAAAATTTTCCAAGATAAAAAATTTCAGGAACTATGATAAACTTGTCGTAAAAGTGCTGAAAAAAAATTGCAACAGATCCCAATATATACCTGAAACTAGTATAAGTAGGTGGATGGAGTTGCCCGGTTTCAATTATCATAGCTTGAAATAGGATAGAAATTTGAAGTATAAAGGGGCACTTTCTATTTTCTGCTTTTCAAATGATTCCCCTGTTTTGAAAATTTAATGATTTAATAAGGACAAAAGAGACTTTTTAATGATTTGGTTGGATATAACTAAGACAGGGGAGTTATTAGTCCATTTTAAAAAGTGAGGGGAGGTTTCAGTACTTAAGAGAAATTTGAAGGGAGGTTTAAGTCTTTTACCCAAAACTTTATCATCATATTAATCATCTAAGCCATGTCCAAACCATATGGGATCAGCTACATAAATCCTGTTTCGTCATTTCATTCTGTTAAGTGCCATGTCCATGTTAAATTATGATCCCCTGCATCATTCCTTACTACCACAACTCTTGTCCTCTTTGGTCTGCTCCCAGATCTTCTACCCCTTCCACATGTAACAGATCACCTCCATGAAAGTGATATGCATTCATTACTCGTTTATACTCACTTGGTTAAATTTACCCATTGCAGATATTTGTTTATACCCCCAGCCAATTCACCGTTACGGTAAAGATTTATTTTTCGAATGAGGACAATTATGTTGAAAAAAATTTATTTTGGAAGGTGTCTCTTAATCAGAAGCTTCATGATGTCGTGCCCCAAATTCTTGATTGCATGAGCAACTTTCCTGATTGTGTTTTCATCAGGTTTCACTCTCAATTCCTCCATGTCAATAAACATCTGTTTATTGGTAGAGAGAAGAGTTAATAGAGTACTACCCACTGCATGCCATGAAAAAATTACCCAGCTAAATCTAGGACAATAAAAATGAGAAATTTTTGAAGTTATAAAAACCATTCAAGTGGGTTAAGGTGCCAAATGAAAACAACTCTGGTTGCAGACTTGCATGTTCCAATATTTATATCAAAATTATACCTCCTGAAAGGATTTTTGTGAATCATTGACTTTGAAATTTGTATCAAAGAAATGAGAAAAGTAATGTCCATATCCTAGAGGCTGAAACAAGGGAGAGCACAAGGTGATCAAGAACCGAAAAGATAATGGAGGGTTCCATTATAAAATAACTCCTACAAAGAAATTTATAACCTACATAAAAGGTTTCATAAAAAATATACGGATAGGAACCACATGGATTAATTCTACGTGGCATACCTCTCCAGCACGCCATGATGATCATATAAGGAGATTAGCCTGGAAAACATCTTTGAGAAAAGTGGGTATATGTGTGAAAAACTCATTTGTGACAAGGATTCAGTCTCATCTACCCTCTGATCCATATTGAATGCCAACTGTCAATTCTTGCCATTTTATCACCATCCACTTCACAACCTGGGAAACCTTAAACACTAGTGCTGAAGAAAGGTGCTACAAGACTCATACTTGGGAATGAGCTTAAACTCAACATACAGCTGGAAAGACTTCAAATTATTTATATGAAATTTACCACCCTATGTCATATTCTTGAGTGATATTCCAACATATATACAAGCAAATACCTCTAACTTTGTTTACATTTTTTTGTCTATGCACTACAATTACCACACTGGCTGACCAGCACACCTTATGACAATTTTTTCAACAAAACAAGATTTCTGAATTCTGAATGAGTTTGCAGATAGTTACCACATTCCAGGTAAGAAACATGTTTTGAAGTCTTAACCCCCCAAGATGCAAAGTATAGCCAAAATATACCAATGGATCATACAAACTCAGCCAATCCAATGAAGTATACCCAAATTGATAATCGACTAATAAAAAACACACAAGGGCTATATAAAACACTTTTTAAATACAAAAGATGCAAAGTTCATTAACCAAGTACCAAAGCAAAATGCCATACTTGAATTATTCATAACTACTGACTATCTTCAGAAAAATCCTAAGAGCTTTGACTGCTGCAAGCAATGGGAATTGGGAACTCCATCTCCCAAGCTGTCCTTTTATCTAATTCTCCATATATATCTTTTTCTCATAAAGAAGTTCTGATACCTGCTGGTTCAAGGTTTAGAATCTGATGATCACACTTCAAATTTTGAAGTTTAATATTCTTTCAAGAAATTGCAAAGAAAACGCCATTGTGTAAATTAAATGAGCATGTCGACATGGTAGTCTTGAAACTAGAAAGGCATATGTATAATCTTCCATAGACATTTAAGTGAAGAAGTCAATAGATAAATTTTGCTAAAACTGAAAATTGAACTCATTCGCTTTTGTTATAATCATAATAAGTTCTTTTTTCCTCATGTGCAGAAGAAATCCTGGGCAACTCAGGAACCATAATCTTTGTCGTCTTTATCTGACAAGAGATTACAACAGCTGGAAGGTAAGCATTCGTTATAATGTTGCATTTGAAGGACAAAAGAGAAAAAATAGTTATTCAACACGCAGAAGCTCCGTATAGGGGAACGGGTTGAAAACATTTTCTTATGCTTCACGCCATCTTTAGTTACTTAAGCATGATCCACTTTAGGTCCGAATTCCAGACAACAAAGGGTCTACAGATTCTGGTCGGATCACCTTACCCCGGACGAGGTAAGGATGTTTCTATGTACAACTAATTACTAAAATGCCTAATCACTTGGAATCAAATACTACTGAAGCATTGCACATTGGGAAGGAACAGAGAGAACGGAAGCAGTAAGTGCACTTTCTGGATCAGGTTTTTCCACGAACATCTGGCAGGCTTCAGTTAAAAGAAACACGGCACGGAAAAGAGAGCATATCGAGTGATGTTTACCTTTGCACTTTGGACGAGCAGGATGGAAATGGAAGATAAGGACGACAATGGCTGGGGCAAGGCCCGCAACATCTGAGGAGGCCCTACGCTCACGCCTATCAAGTCAGACCGAAGAAACCATTGGTTCCCGATGAAACCTCGGGTGGAATATTCCCTTTCAACAATTTCTGGGCAAAGAAAGATATTTTTTGATTCCAAACCAGAGAATGCCATACCTCGATGGAGTGTTTGACAACCTGATTTACAAGTGAGGATGCTCAAACCTTCCTCTATGCCAATTGACAAAGTGGAAAGAGAGGCCAAAATGTAAATGTGCGAGGACAGATTGTATTCAATTTGGTCCCAATGTTACATACCATTTCCATCCAGGACCTCATTTATCTTCAACTTCAAGTGTGGATTGACTTGGCTGGAATCCAAAGCATACCTGAATAGAGGTTTATTGCCCCAGCAATTTTGTCCAAAAGGAAATATATTGCCTGACGTAGTGCAATTAAAAAAGTGATCCGACGTACTAATGGTTGCTTTCCGGGTTGAATAGTCTCCCGCAGGTGCCATTGGGAAAAAAAAAAATAGCTTTGAAGTAATCGGCCCAACAATTATTCTAAGTTAATGTCCTCTAAAGCACCTTCATTTGGATCCGTTATATTTTGAAAATCGTGATAAAAAGTGTAAAGTTTTACATCCATGTAAAATTTTATGCTTGATAAGGTTAAGGTTTTACGTCGATTCATAAAACTCCACTTTATCCAAACACGAATGAATCTGAACAAGAGTGGTTTTTTATGTCAATTATAATAATTAATGTAAATTTTACATGGGTTCTTGATTTACATCACATCCAAATGCAACCACATTCCATTTTAGAATTTATTTTTCTCATCAAATATATAAAGTCTTGCCTTCCCTTTATGGAGAGGGACCCCCCATATACTACTTACATGGAAGTGGCTATTTGTCAAAACCAAGAATCAACCGAACAGACACCTTGGCAAATATGTAAAAACAACTTTTTTCTTTTGTTTATTTTTTGACTAAAACCTGATTCATTGCAGTTAAGGAACACCATTAGTTTACTCGGAGCCTGTACAAAAAATAATGGTATCATCTGCTGCATATAGACAATGAGAAAGAGGGATCAACCTCTCGGCACATGGTAATACAGCTCTGGATTACAAGTGAATAAATGAGAAGGACCTCGGCTTAAAACTTCTTCAATAATGATAAACAGATAGGGGGGCAGAGGATCACCCTGTCTGAGCCCCTTTGAAGATTTGAAATAACCATGTAGGGGACCTCCAATTTTCTGAGAAAACCAATAGTTGCAAATAGTCTTTCGGATTAAGAGCAATCCAATCATCAGAGAAACCATATTTAGTCAACACTTTGAAGAGGAAATCCTAGTTCAACCAATCATATGCTTTCAACATATCAAGTTTGATAATCGAATTATTCCCTCTTACTTTCCGGTCAATCTCTTGTGTCAGTTCCGGAGCAAGATTGATGTTATCAAGGATATTTTTGCCCTTGGTAAAATTAACTTGTTGAGGGGACCCGGATTATCTTGTGGAGAAGACCACTCAATTTGTCAACCAAAATCTTAGATATGATTTTATAAGAGAAAATGCACACACTAATTGGCCTAGAGTTTACAAAACTTTGAGGGTTCTGGCATATAGGTATCAGAGAGATTTAAGTAGAAATAAAGCTCAGAAGAAGGTCCATACCATGGAAGAAATCCAAAATAGCTGTAATCACATCTTCACTGATAATGTCCCAGTAGTGAGTGTAAAAATAACCAATAAAGCCGATCGGGCCCGGAGTAGAATCATTAGAAAGAGAAAAAAACTACAACTTTAATTTCATCCACTATAGAAGGGAGAAGCAACTGCAGATTATCAGATCAGTGATAGAAGAAGGGATAACATCTAGTAGGCCATCTAAGATTAATGACATGGCTCAACTGGAGAAAACATTTTCAAAGTAATGAATACCCTCTAAAATAATTTGATTCCAATCCGAGATAGAAGAACCATCTTAGAAAGCGCACGATCTCCTTCATCAAGGATGGGCGCTAGCTGATTAGCTTTTCATAGTGGTATGAAAAAATTCAGCATGAGCCACTTCCTTTCTGAGAACGTCATGAACCTGAAGCCTCTCAACCATTTCAATCTAAAGAGGAGAACCTGAAGCTTATAGGTTCTAATTTGTAGTCACCATATATAGGGAGGAAAGAATTGTGACTCAGCCACATCTACTGAAATCTGAACATAGAAGGACTTGCCTCAGAAGTATCAAGAAACTTACAAAGAAGAGGGCAGTGATGTATATATAAATTGTTCAAGTGTTTGACAGGAGAAGAGGTAAAACTGGAAAGCCAAGTGGTGTTTACCAAACCACGATCAAGTTAAGCCCATACACAAGCTTGACTTTCTCTCCCATTGCACCAAGTGAAGGTATTACCCTCAAAGCTAATTAAGGCCATGTAAACCAACTGAGAAAATAAAATCTTGGAATGAAGCCTCTATAAAAGTAACGAAGCCATGCAATTTAGAACAATCTCAAGATGGAGTCCAACCTCAGTGAAACTTTGCAAGTGGAGATCTCAATCCAAGCCGAACATCTACAAGTTTTCCATCAGCTACACCCATGGCTTCAAGAGATAAACCCAACAATTCTATGGAAGCCACAAACCCAAGTATGGATGTTAGTCACACCATTGACCGATGAAATCCCACAACTGCTACAAAATCTTGTTCAACCCACTGTGTTTTTCTCCTCAATCGCACCAACCTCATGAACCTATATACCAGATCCATCTTTCCTATTAGAAACCTAAAACATCTTGCTCGCCTCAAGCCCTAACAGATATTAATGGATAAATAAATACAAGCAAGTGGAGTTTGAGTAGAACTCTAATAAATAAAAAAAGATAACTATAATTAATGGATAAAACAAAAAGGATAAGAGCCAGCCACGATATGGAAACAGAGAGCCCAGCTAAGATCTGAAATCAGAGGCGTGTTCTATTATCCCCCCTCAAGTTGTACAGGCATGTCATGTGTAACTTGGAATGAAGAGATGCAAATTTGTTGAAGGGGAGCCCTTTAGTGAAACCATTGGCCAGCTATTCTACAGAGTTGACATGCTGAACATGAAGCTTCTTCTTGGCGACAAAATCTCTAACAAAGTGGATGCCAATCTCAATATGCTTGGGTCGAGAATGAAGAACTGGATTCGTTGCAAGAAAGGTTGCACTTATGTTATCGCAAAGTAAGGTAGGGGTGATCGAAGGGGAAATCCAATCTCATGAAGTAGAGATTGAATCCAGAGTGTCTCAATTTCTGTAGATGCAAGACTGGGGTATTCGCTCTCAATGCTGGACCTAGAGATTGCCTTTTGCTTTCTGGAAGACCAAGAGACCGGATTGCTGCCAAGGAAAATGCATAACCCACTTTGAGATTTTCTATCCACATGATCACTTGTCCAAGAAAATGATAGAAGGGAATCAACTGAAGACGGTGTGATACATAATCCATAATGCATGGTTGCTTTTAAGTAACATAAAATACGTTTGACAGCCGCCTAATGACTTGTTGATGGTGCATGCATGAATTGACATGCCTTATAGACAGTAAAGGCGATGTCAGGGCGAGTAAGTGACAAGTATTGTAAGGCACCAACAGTCCTCCTATATAAGGTAACATCAGAGAAAGATTTTGTAGTATGAGAACAGCTTAAAGAGAAGGGAGTGCGGGCTGGTTTGGCATTAATCATACCGGTGGAAGTTAAATATCAATAATATACTTATGTTGGGAGAGGAAGAGGCCTGATGAGAGTTGTTTTGCTTCAACTCTTAAGAAATAATGAATATCTCCAAGATCTTTAACTGCGAATGTAGAGCTCAAAAAAACAATAAGAGATGCAATCATGGAAGAGTTGTTGCCTGTAATGAGAATGTCATCCACATAGATGAGAATGAAGAGAGACCCATGATGATCATGTTTGTAAAAGAGAGAATGATCTTCTTTGGAGTAGGTGAAGCCATGATGATCATGTTTGTAAAAGAGAGAATGATCTTCTTTGGAGTAGGTGAAGCCATGATGATCATGTTTGTAAAAGAGAGAATGATCGATCCTCTTTGGAGTAGGTAAAGGCATGATTTTGTAAGAACATGGCAAGTTTGTTTTACCAAGTGCGTGGAGCTTGTTTCAAGCCGTAGAGAAAGCGCTTTAGCAAACAAACATGATTAGGATGAGTAGCATCTTTGAAACCCGGTGGTTGTTCCATAAAAATTGTTTCTTCCAAATCCCCATGAAGAAATGCATTTTAAACATCAATTTGATGAATGGGTCAACTTTTAGAGACGGCAATAGAAAGTAATAACCTGATGGTGACAGGTTTAACAACTGGGCTAAATGTCTTGTGATAGTCCACACCCGCTTGTTGAGAGAATCCCTTAGCAATAAGGCGGGCCTTATAGCGTAAAATGCAACTGTCTAAACCACGCTTAAGGCGGAAAACCCACTTAGAGCCAATGACATTTTGATCAATTGGGTGAGGTAAAGGACCCAAGTCTTGTTACGAGTAAGTGCACCAAATTCATCTTTCATGGCATTGTACCAATTCTTGATCAAGAGAGCTTGCTTAACAGTAGAGGGTTCAAATATGGGTTCAATAGTAGGGTATTTGGGTGCAAGGTAGATTTTGGGTTTGAAAAATATCACTCTTTGACCGAGTGGTCATAGGGTGAGTATTGGTTGGTGGGGGATCAACATGGGTAGAGTTAAGAGGGACAGTAGTAGAGGTGGAGGGAGGGGAGGTTGGGATACTGGTATTGGTATGGTGATCAGCCAATTCTAAAGTCGACTCAGAATTGGAGGGTAATGAATCAAATATAGGGTGAAGGAGAGAAGGTTGTGGCGTGATGTTAAGGGGAGGAGACAATTCGGTATAATTTGGTTTGATGGAAGATAAAATTATGGACTAAATGGGAAATGAGGGTATAGGTTGGGAGTGACTAGGTTGAGGCATAGCATGATTAATAAATTTAATTGGATAATAGCTCTTATTGAACAAGACATGACGAGAGACATACCAGCGACCAGTAGAAGGATCAAGACATTTGTACCCATGATGCGTAGTGAGTACCCAAGAAAGATGCAAGGAGTAGAACGATAGTTCATCTTATTACTATTATAAGGCCTCAAATATGGAAAACACTGACAACCAAACACCTTCAAGAAGTTATAATCTGGAGTGCTGTGAAATAACTTCTCCCAGGGAGATCGATGTCCAAGAACCCGAGTAGGTGTGCGATTATACAAATATACAACACTAGATAATGCTTCCCACCAATAAATAAATGGAGCTGAAGCTTGAGCAAGCAAAGTCAGTCCATTTTCAACAATGATACGATGACCTCTCTCAATACTGCCATTTTGCTCGGAGGTACGAGGACAGGTCAATGGATGAGTTATCCCATTTTGTTCAAGGAAAGAAAATTTCAAAACTCTCCTCCACCACTATGTAATTGCATGATTCTGACTCTAGAACAATACGCATACAATTTTTC